TTTTTTTTGCGATTTGTGTTGCTGTCTTTTCGTTTCGTGCCATGCCATTAGATTTTAGCACTGCTCATCTTTCTTCGCAATTTTACAAAGTATAGTTTGGAAATCATCATCGTTTTTCCCCTTGTTTACTGAATATTTCTATTCATTCATGACGGTACATCTCTTTTGAACATTAAATACTTAGAGGTGCAAAGCATTTTGAACGGGGTTATGGCGAAACCATGTAGAAACCAAGCGACCCAACGACAAAGTTGTTTATGATCATCATCAGTTCTTGTTTAACGCTAAAAGAATTAATGCAAGTCACCCATGAAACGGTTAGGCTTAGGATAAGACTTGGTTTCGGTTTTTTGTTTGTTTTGTGTTGTTTCTTCTTTTTTCGATGAATTTTTTCAAGACTGAATTAAATGACTTGATTTAGAAAGTCGTGTCGAAATAGAATTGATTGTCATTTTCTTTTGTTGCGTGAGCACGACTTTCTTGTTTTCATCGGCGCTGATTAAAAAAGTTTAAGACAAAAAAAAGTGCAAACCCGAGAAAATTCTCAAATTGTTAATCTCTGACTTCAACCACAAAGCATTCATATATGATCGGTAAAAACGACAACGACAACGAAAACAAATAAAAAAATTTGGAGGAAATTTTAAAGAAATTTATTGAAGAAAAGCCCTTTTATTGTCTAAAGCCTTGCTCATTCAAAAGCGAAATGAGTCCTGAAATCTTGGATCGCTTCCCAACGATTGTGTTCCAATTTCCTTTAATTCGGGAACCAGCATATTGGAGCGACAAGTTTTCAAAAATACACCGATTAAAACAAAGAAAGGGACCCAATTATCCCGAACACGAGAATTGAAATAATTCCAAACAGTATTATCTCGTTTGGATCGATTTACAAGTGCACAATTGACGGAAATCTGAAACGTTCTGATCACGACGGGAAAACCAGCAAAGTGACGTCCTAAACTTGTTTTGGGAGAACCGCAACGCTAACACCGGAAGTCGAATGGTGTCGTGTCCAGACTATTCGGCGCGCTCTCCTGTTCTGAAATGACGTTCCCGTCCTCTTTCTAAATCTCTCGAATAATATATAGCGCCGCGCGTGAATGACGTCAAAGTGACTAATTTTCTATTTTTGTTGGAGTTTTCGGGTCTATAAATATTAACAGCCCGCAGCGCTATTTCATTAAAGCGATAAACTTCCTTGTTGCTGCCAACAAAACCTACATTATGCGAGAAGAACTTCGTGGATATACAACCAATATTATGGAATAATAGGGGTAAGGCACATTTTCAGTGTATAATTATACGTAGGTAGTCTATGGCTTTCGTCCTCTCTATAGAACCGCAATGCTGATAATATATGTCTGCAAATTGTTAGAAGAAGCGGATCGTCTATCACGCGTCGGATGGTAGTTTTTGGTTGTTCTACGGATTGTAGTCTTTGTAGAAATTTTACTAAGAGGGGTAGTTGTTTTCAAAATTACGAAAACTAAGACCCCTAAATTTACCGTTAAATTTGACCTAAACTCGGTCGAAAGGATCGGACAGGAGATAATTTGACAGATTAGACCTATTTTGGTTACACTTTACTTATATTTCGACGGATTCGATTTAAGGGGGTCTTAGTTTTCGTAATCTCGAAAACTAAGACGGGTCTTAGGTCTTAGTTTTCGAGGGTCTTAATTCTCGTAATCCGCTTTAGCTCCTTCCTCAAAATATCAAACATTTTTTTTCAGTCTCAGTGAGATGGGGTTTCAACCATTTTCTAATACACCGTCTCATTCAAGTTGGGTTTGAGTTTTCAATAGCACCATCTACTTCGAGTTGAGTTCGAGTTTTATCATTCAGGTTATTTGGGGTTGATTTTCATGAAGCTCGTTGGGCATAAAATATAATCACGAAGCGTTTTTAAATTTTGTTTTCGCTCTTTGGTTTCAGTCCAATTTTCAAATGAAAATGAAAATGAAAGTTTATGACTCACCCAAAATCTAAACAATTTGTATGATGGAGAAGAAGGCGAATCTTTGTGAGAGTGTGACCATCATGTCCAAAAGAGTAGTTTCGAAAACGAAGCCCTAAGACCCCTAAGAGAACGAAGACCCAACACGCAGGGACGCGAGTAATTTATCTCGATGCCTTGTGTGCGTAAACCCAAAAGGCAAAATTGTAAGACTTCTAGAGACTACGGTCAATGATAATAAAAAAACACGAATTTTTCAGTTTTCTTGATATTGTTGTCTGTCATTTTGTATTTAGTTATCGTTACCACCTGCACCTAAACTGTAACGCAACGCATCCACCGAGCCTTAATTTCCGGGCGCACTCTTTTCTGCTTACAAAATCAAGAGAACTGATACAGTCGTGGTTTTTTTTTTTGTTTTTTTTTGCTTTCTTGTTTTTTGTTTTTGTTTTTTTTTTCTGGTCTTCGTTTTTGTAATGGGTCTTCGTGTTCGTAAGGGTCTTATGTCTTCGTTTTCGGGGTCTTCACTTCGAAACTACCTGTCCACAACAAATTTAGCAGTGAAGAGCCGGCCCGAGCTTTTTGTTACAGCCCCTGTTCTAAACCGTTCCCAAACAGATCAAACTGGCAAGGCAATACAATTTTGTTTTAGCAACTGAGTTGATTCTTTAAATTGGCCACCCTAATGAGATTTTAAAGCTCATGTTTCGAGCGCTAACCCTTCGTCAGAACGAATGGTCGTAGTGGTAGTCACGTTTCCTCGGGAAACGTGACTACCACTACTTCGCAACGATTCGCGTGACATCTCAAAGAGCGGCTGCTAAGTAAAAAGAAAAAAAAAAAGCAGTTAGCGCCGCGGCTGTTCAAAGATGGATCCTTCTGCTAACTGTCATCAAGTATTTCCCCGGGCGAAAACGGATGGTATTTCGTTGGATACCCAGTCCAGTTTTTTTTTCCATCGATACACAGTTCTCGACATAATTGTAAGAGAGGGGAGCTGCAAGACATGGCTACCTAGCTATTCTTAGTTTAAGCCTCTGAGATGGCGACAGAAAATGCACAAGTTTTCATAAACGACGAGCTTACAAAATATTATGAAAAGGGTCCAAAGAAATTTCTTTGAAAAAAGTTCTGATGGCTTGCACTAGAATCAAGAAGTCTTAGAGTTTGATCAAAAAAGCGAATTGACTGAAATAGAATGAAGGGTGCCTTAACTTGTTTATGCCTTATTCAATCAAGAGTTACACCTCGTTAATTCCTCAAAGACCTCTGGCGTAGTAAGCCTCAATGGCCGTTCTATAGTTGTCAAAAGCATACTCTCTCTGGAAGTTCAGAGCTTCTTTGTTATGGCTGTTTACAACCCTCCCAAGATTCAGTGGTAAAATTCTACTTGTGTCTGCCATACAATAGTCCATTTTAAAGTTCTGTGCTTGGTTGCCAAGCCTTTGAATGGGAGTGAGGCTAGGGTTGACCTTGTTATGATACAAACCTTGCTACCTTTCAAATGTAAATCACTTTGTTATCATGCTAAGTAGATACAGGTCTCTATCACAACAGTCACCTTCAGCCTCACTCCGAATCAAAGGCTTGGCAACTAACAACACAACTGTAAAATGGCCTATGCTTGCAAACTTCTTGTGATGTGTTACTTTGTTGAATTTTGGTATTAGATCAACTTATACTCCCCAAATTTATAGTTTTTATTAATTCTCATCACTTCCTTGCTTAATATTGTATTGACGAGGCAAGGATAAGTTCTGTCTTGGTCAATCACGGGAGTTAAAGGGTAAATAAGAATAAAGAAAGTGTCCACTAGGGATGAATTCTTGCATGAAAAACTAATTGCAGAGATGTAGAGAAAAAAGAGTTTCTATGAAAGCAAGCAAACCATATAGTCTGTTCCTTTTACACTTCAAGACCTAATGGTGACCAGCATCTAATTTCTCCTCACAATCTCACTTGCTGAATCAAACATGAAGGTCTTGAGAATATAGGAAAGGTCATCAACTACAAAAGCTTAATTATGATTGTTCCACAAATTCTCCTTGTCAGCACTATAAGAAATGTTTAGAGAACAGTATGGAGAGTACAGATACTGATGTTGAGGTTTAAAATGGTTAAGACTCTCAGGCACCAGTCAAATTGATGTAAGAAGAAGCAAAGGAAGGTGGGTCATGAGTGCCATTTGAATGTAGCACTTCATTATGTTCTCATTGCCCTTTTCCTTTTTTAGTTTTTGCTTAGAAATCCTGCAGTATGTCAGCAGCTAAGAAAGGAAATGAAACTTCTCCATTAATTCCAAAGAAACCAGTCGCCCAACCTTACTCACCTGGTGGGGAGACTGCTACCAATTCCTCTGGTCTTAGTAGTGCCTTGAGTCAACGACAAAGGATCTTGAATGCATTCTGTATTCTTGTAACAGAGTTCTGTGAGCGCCTGACCTTCTATGGAACATCTGCCAATCTATTATTATTTTGCAGCAACGTGTTAAAGCTTGGATCTCCATGGCCATCAACAATCACTCTTTTGTTCCAAGGTTTGTTTGTAGTATTAGTATGCCCAAGCAAGTACCTCTTTAATTCTGTGATTTCAAAGTCAGGATTTACAGACCACTTTCTGCATTAGAAGATGGATTACATGACATTTTAAACTATAGTTTTGATTACAGCTGTTTTGAGAAAGGTTGTTGGAAAAGCGGAAGCAACAACCCCAAAAGGTAATGTTACCGGTAGTTTTCAGGTCACAGTTCCTTGACCTCAGGATTTCAGGGAAATCTGAGAAGACATCACTTTTAGGATGACACATAACAGGGTTGATGAATTTACTTTATATATTTATTTTACTTATTAGAACTCATTGATTACTGGATACCCAGATTGCCTTTGGAGGTGGGAAATTTTGGAAATGATTCAAAGTATGGAAAATCCTTTTTTTTTTGTTCCCCTAAATTTTTTCTAGGGCTCTCCTTAGTAAAACAACTTTAAATAGTTATATAGGACTCTTAGTGCTCCTCGTGACATCATATTTGTTAAATAGAATAGCCAAGTTGACAGTTGCAGTCATTAAGGATCCAAATGAGTTACAGCCAAATGAACCTCAGCATTCTAATGCTTGTGTTGGGTACAAGGTTCAGAACTTTCACATATTCTATAGGAAAATTTGCTACTTGACAAGGGAGTTCTACATTAAGTGATGAGTACGATATCAGTTTTCAAGTGCAATTTGACAAGGAATTTATAAGTCAAGTTATGGATTTTCTTGAATCTCCTCATTGAATAAGAAAAGAAAGAAAACAGCATTTAATTAACCTATAGTAGTTATGTATACATAGGTGCAAGACAATATCACTTAGCCTTGTTTTCAACTTGTTATTCTACACTAAATATCTTTCATTGACCAATCAGAATGTGAGATTTTATTCAATGATGTGATTGAATGCCATACGACATACAAGTTTATCCAATTAGAATTTTTAAGTATCCAGCAACAACTTTCAGTCTGAGGCCAAAGCCTCCCATTGAAGTGTGACAATGCAAAAGGGATGATAAGAAGCACAGCGTCAACCCTTTAAACCCTGAGAGTGATACACATCCAATTTCTCCCAATGGCATCACCCTTGAATCAAATGTTAATCTTATGAGAATATAGAAAATGATCGCAAGGTCAAGAAACTCTTGATTATTAAACACATTCTCCTTGCAAGTACCATTCGACATGTCCATAGTTAATCGAGGGGAATGACATCTCTAGACAACAGTATGAAGAGCTTGCAAACTGATGTAAGAGTAGTGTAAAGGATTGTCTGTGAGCAAAGCTATTTATAATTTAACTGAATAGTGGTTTTCATTGTTTTCATAGGAACATGTTTTCTCACTCCTTTACTTGGTGGGTGGTTAGCTGACTCTTACCTTGGTCAGTTTAACACCATATATGGAAGCTCTTTGTTGTACTTTGTTGGAGTTTTACTTCTGGCTGCAGTATCAATTACTAATGATACACTGAAGACAGTATTTGCTAATTCAGCGAGAGTGGTGTACTTTATCATTGCCCTTGTGTTGATAACATTTGGTGCAGGAGGAATCAAAGCCAATGTGTCACCCTTTGGAGCAGATCAGGTGAAACAGGATGGTCCAAGAGCTGTCCAGAGCTTTTTCAACTATTTTTATTGGTTCATTAACATTGGAGCCCTCCTAGCTTTTACTGTGGTGGTTGGGGTCCAGCAGGCTGACATTTTCTCTGGTTATGCCATTGTAGTGGGTACAATGTTCCTTGTAATCATTGTATTTATCACCCGTCGTAATAAGTACTTGGTCAGGCCACCAGGTGGTAGTCAACTGACTGAAACTGCAAAAATAATCCACAATGCCATTAAAAACCGTAATCAGAACACTGGTGGTTGGATGGATGGAGCAAAGGTCAGATTTGGAGGAAAGTTTGATGATGCTCAAGTTGAAGATGTCAAGGCTGTGTTAAGGCTAATTCCAGTGTTCATTACTTTCATTTTTTATTTTGCAGCTTACTCTCAGGTGAGGCTTTGCTACTATGAAATCATAACAATATTATACATGAAGGAATGTTTTGGGATTAAAAAATTTAGAAAAAATTAAAAAGGAAAGTAAATCTCATGCTACATGGTGATGCTACAATATTATTGTTTTTCAATACAGGTCATCAGATTTAACATATGGCACTGTTAGAAAATAATGTCTTATCTGTACATCAATCTTCTAATCTGAGAATACTATATGTTACTTCAAATAATTCAGATTCACTTCAGGCATCTAGTGATCAGACCACAAGTTTTAGAAAGAGAAGAGATATCAACAACCAAGATGAAAAGTGATTGAAAACATTTAAGGCATTTTTAAGCTTTGAACTTTTCTTTCCCCTTTTTTCCAGATCAGCACTTCAGTCCTCGTTCAAGGTACATTCATGAAGCTAAAGTTTGTAGACTTCTCCATACCAGCAGCCTCTTTGTCATTGGTTGACATAGTTATTATTCTGGTGCTTGTCCCCCTCATGAATCATGCAATTTACCCTTTTGTTAAGCGCACTGGGATTAAGTTGACATACTTTCACCGCATTGGTGTGGGCTACATGTTAATGGCAGCAAGTATGCTTGTAGCTGGGCTGATTGAAATAAAACGACGGACGGTATGGCAACATGGGGCAATTTGCACACAGATAGTTTTGGGTGAAAGTCACAATGCCTCATGTTTCAGTATTTTCTGGCAAACACCACAGTTCTTATTGATTGGATGTAGTGAAGTGTTAGCAACTATCACTGGTAAGTGAAGTTTACCTAGGTATGTTTTTAAGCAATTGTCAATTAAGACTTGTCAAAAGTAATCTGCAATTGCTTGCAATAGCCCTTTTTACAGTTCCCGGCGCCATATTAAATGTGTAACCGCGCAAACATGATAGCAAGGTTAGCGTTGAGTCGCGTTGCGAGTTCTAGTGAGAGTTTAGTGAAATGTGGTGGTGCTCTGTCCTTTTCATCGAGATATTTCGACAATGAACGATACTTTCCCTACGCAGGATATTCCTCCTTCTTCTTCGAAAAGAAGAGGAAGACACTGTGCCGCTTTTTGGTTGTGCTAATAGCTATTATGACACAACAGGCAATCCAACAGGTCTGCATTTCTTCTCGTTTCCAAATGACTTCCAGCAGTGAATCAGATGGTGCAATCTCCTGAAGCGCCAGCATGGAAAGGTCAGATTCTTCATCACAAAATCAACTTTTTTGTGCTCAGAACATTTCAAGAAAGACATGCGAAAAAACGTGGGCAGGTCGCTGGAAATTGGTGAAAGGTTTATAATGTTTGTACAGTTGTTTTGTTGCTTGGATACCGAAAGAAAATGCCTGCTTTGATTTTCGGTATTGAAGTGTTTATGCTGGGATTTTTTTTTTTTTTTTGGGGGGGGGGGGTTTCTCCTTATCAAAAAGGTGATATTTATATTTCTTTGTGCACTGTGGTCTTATACAATATCTGTGAACTGAATGTAAAATTATAAAATTGTAATGTACAATTAAAATGTAAAATTATAAATTTATAAAATGATGGGTTTAATTATTAAATATATGGGCAGATCCATCTCGATTTAACTGGTCAGTACCAAAAAAACTATGGAAAATGCCTGCTAAAAGGGTCCCGGTAGCAACTGTGACAACTCATGGAGAGTCATTTGAAGTTGAACAGGAATTATTTCACCAAGAAGTTAAAACACCTGTGTCAACTGTCGATGCTGCTTCACCTTCACCAGCTCAAATTTAATGCTCAAATTGATTTAGGTGTAATCTTTTCTTACATTAAGAAATATTAATATTAATGTTGTTACTACTCAGGGAAAAAAAGATGATGTTGGGCTTGTGAAATCAAGATAAGGTACCATTGTACATTGTGTAAGTAAGGGAAGTGATTGGCATGACAATAAAACGCAAGTTAAACTATGTCTTTATGGGAACTTCAAATGACTCTTCTTGAGTTGTCACAGTTGCTACTGGTACCCTTTAAGCAGGCATTTTCCGTGGTTTTTTCGGTACTGACTAGTTTAATCGAGATGGTTCTGCCCATATATATAATAATAAACTCATGATTTTATTAAATTTTTAATTTTACATTTTAATATTATATTATAATTTTATAATTTTACTTTCAGTTCACAGATATCTATAAGACCACAGTGCACAAACAAACATAAATGTCACCTTTTTAATAAGGAGAAAAAAATCCCAGCATAAATACTACAATACCGAAAATCAAAGCACCATTTTCTTTCGGTATCCAAGCAACAAAACAACCGTGCAAACATTATAAACCTTTCACCAATTTCCAGCGACCTGCCCACGTTTTTTCGCATGTCTTCTGTTTTGAAATGTTCTGAGCACAAAGAAGTTGATTTTGTGATGAAGAATCCGTCCTTTCCATGCTGGCGCTTCAGGAGATTGCACCATCTGATTCTGA